AAAAATCCTCAGAAACATAAGATTTGACGAAACAAAAGCTTGCCATCTTTAAGGCAAGGCATCTTGACAAGGCCTTTCTGCAAGTCCTGGGCTTGTTCTTAACCACTCATAAGATAGAGGCAGAGGAAACCTTCTCCCTGACAAATAGCAGGATATTGCTGGCAACACAACTGAGTTCTACCGGCACGGCACCCGTGTCCCTCCCAAACCAGAGACCTACCGATGCAAGCCTGCTTGGTAGGGGTGCTCTGGAAGCCTTCGTGGCACTTGCAGTGGTAGGAGCCGGGTGTGTTCACACAGTCACCGTGCACGCAGGGGCTGCTGGAGCACTCGTCCACATCTGCAAGAAGAGCCCGTGAGGTCTCGTTGTGCGGGGAACACACTGGAAAGGCTGGGACTGGCACGGGGGCTGCTGGAGCACCCGATCAAGGTGTTTTTGCAGGGCAGGTGCCCGGGGCTCAAGCGGATCCACTTACCGATGCACTCTCCACGCACATCCTGCTTGTAGCCCATGTTGCACTCGCAGCGGTAGCTGGACGGGGTAGGGATGCAGCGGCCATTCAGGCAGAGGTTGGTGAAATGCTTGCAGATGTCAATGGTCTGGTTTAAAGTGGCAGTTCCTGCAAGGGCCAGAGACAACAAACTCAGCCAGTTCAGGAGCCTCCCTGCCCTCCCGACATGCACAAGATCACACAGCCTTTAAGAAGGAAGGTGGGAAGGCAAATTTATTAATGCCCAGTGCATGTTTACAGGTGCAAGCTCTTGCAAGGAGCTATGTGGGATGCACACAAGAGGTCGGGGAGCAAACACTCCTCTGCTTTGGGGAGCGAGACAGGGACATGAAAGCTTCATTCCCATTTGGTAATTAGAAAGATATTCTGCACCGAAGCCGAACGCCTGTGCTCCGCCAGCAGACTGTGTTTGATGTGCTGCTGGGCTCAGCATTCTGCACAGCATTAATGTCACATCCCATCACTCCCCCGGTGTCAAAATAAACCTCGCAGCTGGCTCGGAGCACTGGGGCTCTGCTCGTGTGCACCGCTCGGAGCAGTGGGCAGGCACACGGACCGGCACGATGTGCATGTTCCGAGACATGCGGCCAGGTCAGGTCAGCACTGCAAAAATTAAAAAAATAAAAAAAATTAAAAAAAAAGAGGGAATTTTAATTTACCGATGCTCGAACTTCCTGGGCCCATTCCAGGCAGACCCGGGATCCCTCCTTGTCCATTTGCCCCATTTGGTCCGATGCCTCCGGGCCCGTTGATTCCTGGCCCAACACCATTGGGCCCAAATCCAGGAATTCCTGGAAAGCTCCCAGGGAACCCTGGCACCACCGGGAGTCCTTCGATGCAGAGCCTGCGGTACTCATCTGAAAGAAACCAGCTGCCTTAATGTCCTTCCAAGAGGGCCTGAATCCCCCTCCTGCCTCTGCCAGGATGCAGAGAGCACAGGCAGAGACATGGAGATGGGACGGGTGACAAAGAGGGTGGCTGCTAATGGGACATGGGCAGGCAGGCAAGGAGGGTGCTAACTCTCTCTGCTCCAAAGCAGTTGATGGGACACAGCTTGCCAGGGGGAAGGGGCAAGACTTAGAGGGCCATCAGACTTGTAATGTCTCCCCTGCATGGTGGCAGTTGATGTAGGAAGAGAGAGGTGGAAAGAGCTGGAGCGTTGGGACTTCTCCAGCTCTGCTCCTGCCTGGACTTCCCCTCATTTGGCCTCGTGACTCAATTGCAGGGGGAGACAAAGTAAGCTGGAAGGGTAGGAGGAGGAGGGTCACCTGAACTCATCTGGATCACCTTCAGATGAGCCCCAGGCAGGGGAGCCACCATTCCCACATGACCCATCCCTAGGACATTATGTGGCTCATTCTCCACGCTGGTAAAAGCCACCAGGGGCACCAGCTGGCCCCGCGGGAGCTCCTCGGCGCCGCGCTTACCGGAGCCCCGGACGGGGCACATTTCTGGAGTCTGCCCGATGGCCCAGCAGCGCCCCGAGTCGCAGCAGCATTGCATCTTGGTGTACTGGCCAGGGAGCTCCCCGGCGCAGCGGCCCCCGATCAGAGCGGAGAAACACGTCCCGATCCGCTGGTCTGCAGAGAGAGGAGCTGCATCCATGGGGTTCCAGCACCGTACACCCACGTAGGTCTCAAAAGTGAAAGACATGAACCTAGCGCCTGTTCCCAGTGGCATCTCTTTATTCTGCTCAAATTCCTGGTCTGTCCCGCATCAATGGAGACGTCTCCAGCACCAACAACTCCCCAGTGTGACCTCTCTCCACTGTCCCACTTGGCTGCATCTTTCAGAGCATGGGCTGCTTCCCAAAGCCTGGACTGAACCAAGAGGAGAGGGAGCCCTGGAAGGTGGTCGAAGCCCATGAGCTTGGCCAAAGCCACAGACACCAAGGCTGGCACTGATGCCTGGGGTGTGAGGTGCCTGGACCAGAGCCAGGAGACTCAAAGCCTTTCACATGTCTAGCAGGGCCCTGTCTGGCACCAAATCCTCCAGGAAAACCTGGAATATTCCACTCATTCAGCTCTCACTCTTGTTTCTGAAGTAATTTAATGAGGGGGAAAGTCTGGTCTGATTTGTCTCCTGTGCCTGTACAGTGACATTAACCAGCAGGCTGACACGTTGCTGAAAAATAATTGAAATTAATTGCACGGAGCTGTTTGATCTGTGGGCTGTGGTTATTCCTTCTCTAATCGCAGCTCAGAGACTTACGGTGGACAGTGACCCCATTTAAAGCCAGGGTGACTAAACCAGCATGTCTGTTCTCCAGGACATTCCTTGGGCCACTCTGCAACACTGAGCTCAGCCTGATCCACTTCTCTGAAAGCAAAACTTTTCATCCGCCGCAGAGCCTTGCAGAAGGAAAAGGCACATTTGAGCACAGGGGCTGCTTGCAACACAGGATTAACTCCTAATCCTAACGAAGGGAAGGTTGATTCACGTGGAAGCGCACGGCCGGCCGCGTCCTTGTTGTCTGCAGATGCAAGGGCCCAAGAGCAAGCCCAGGTCTCAGTAATTCTGCAGGACAAGTTGGGACCACAACTCAACGGCCACGTTTCCTCCGGAAAGGGGCTTGTCCAAACCAAGAGAGGACAGCGGGATCATTCCCGAAAGCTACTGATGCTGCTTTAGGAGTATGAAATGCTTAGGGGATGGATCGCTAGGTCTGAGGGCAGGAATTTGGAATAAATCCTCGAGCTGGCCCTTCTGTGGGACCCTCTCTGTCACCAAGGCTGTGACACACTGTGACAGCCACACAGTTAACTGTGAGAAGCAATTCGTGGTCCCCATGGAGAGCCATGGCCCAACATGCTTGACAAGGCAGGGAGGTCACAGCAGTCTGTGCACTAGAGGGAACGATCCGGCCCTTACTCATCTGGACAAACGTTTATTAAATTCATCTGTCTTTGCTGCACTTTGCAACCATCTCGCTCAGAAAAAGAGCGTCAGAACTAATGGAAACCCCAGCTGGATCCGCCTTGGGCAGAGATGGGGTGGATGGAAAGAACAGCAGGTCCCTCCGGGACCTCCGACAGGACCACCCACTCGCTGGAGGGGCAAGCAGATCGGGATACGGATACGGGTCTGCTCCCCCCGGCTGCCAAGGGGACCGGTTTGCAGAATAGTCAATCAGATAATGCTGCAGGCAAGAGAAGATGGAAAATTGCACATTAGATCAGACCCGATTAGACACAGACGGGAGGGCGAGGGCCACGGGTCTGCCCGTGGTCCGCAGTTCGGAGATGTTATGGATGCTTTGGAAATGTTTTTGCAAGACACACACACAAACGTCTGCTTGGCTTACCAAGCAGCTTATCCATATCACTGAGGAAGGCTAAAAGATTTCAAGAATGAAAATAATTTTCAAAAATGATTTCTATTTTTTTCTGATTTAAAGGCACAAAGGTTTTCTTAAAAAATACCAAACTGTTCCCTTGATTATTTTTTTAAGCATATTTGCTTTTCTCTACATTTGCTGCTTCCTACAGTGAAATGGCTATTTGTGCTTGCCCTTTTCCCTGTTCTATATTGTTATCCGTAAATTCTCCATGATCTGGGGAGCTATTAAAGAAAAAAAAGAGAAACTTAGAAAAGGACAAAGGGAAATGAAAGAGTGGGGAAAAAATGCAGAGTGGGGAAAAATGTTTCTGCATGGCCTTCACTGGTGCAAAAACAAACCAAAGGCAAGTGAAAAAAAGTTATCTGCCTTTCATAAAAAATGCATATTTTTTTCTAATCGTCATCCTGGGGGGAGAGCCTTTAAGGGTGAGTATCTCTCTGATTTTGTGTCTTGCCATTCCCAGGCAACTCAAGGGATCAAAAGCAAACAAACTCCACAGCCTGGCTGCTGCCAAAGGCCGTTGGCTCCGACTCCAAAGGAGCCGGGGGCTCCACGGAGAGCTGCGGAGCTGGAGGAATCCCGCCCGGGATGCCCAGCGGTGCTCGGCTTGCAGGGAAGAAGCGGCCGGTCAGGCCGGACCGATGAAGTCACCGCTTGTTCCCTGTTTCTGGAAACACGACCCACCGCATTCCTGTTTGGTTAAGATTGGGCTAGATCGCTGTCTCGGGGAAGAGAGGACCAGTGCATCCCTGGAGCTGCGCAGGGCTCCTTCCCACTTCCAGCCACAGTGCAAATAGGCAAAACCTGAGCATTACTAGAAGCTTTTTCGGCGAGAAACGTTCTAATAAATTCCCTCCCTCCCTGGCTCACTCCTAGTTTGCTTCCCACTCAAACTGTGCATGAGGTTGAAGTACACATTTTCAGTCCATTTTCAAGCCTGAGGTCCTCTCACCCCTTCCTTTTTGTCCACTTTTGCCTTCATAAATGTTATCTATCCA